GCGCGAGGCAGTAATTCCTGACGGGCACCAGACGGCTGTCATACATACTGACTACCCCGCCGCTTATCAAAACGATTATCAGAGAAGCGTCAGAGAGTGATCGTCAACGGCAAAGCCTCTGACTGGAAACCAGTAAACTCCGTTATCCCAGAAAGATCCCTATTAGCCCCACTCCTGCTCTTGATATGACGATTTACGAATTACCGCGTCTTATTCAAGGATGATACGTGGGCTTCACAGGGCGCCGGCCGCATGATTCGGCATATTCTCCATATTCTGCTGTCGGCATACTTATCCAGCGTATGCTCTTTCCAGCGTACTGCTGCGTCCCATGGACGGGAGCGTCCGATCCCCGCACAGCGCGGGTCGCTCGAGTACAACACAATTCTATCATCTGGCGTCTAACCCGCACGTCTTCTGGACATGCACAACAGCCCTTTACGCGCCAAATCTCTCGCGCCACTCCCGGATTCTCTTTCTAATGTCATGGAGAGTGCGGCATGCCTGTCTTTTTGCTGGGAGCATTTTTCGAGTGAAGTAAGACTGCCTCTCGTTTAGTACCGCCGGCTGAACACTTTTGCATTGTGCGATTCATCCCATATCAACAGAATACAAACCATAGGTTTAATGCAAAATCCTTTATAGAGTGTTCTCCCATTTGTGGGTCTTATCAGTGTATGCCACACAGGTCTTATTTACTGTCGTACCTTTTCAATCTGCTGACTTCGCCTGTAAGCGGAAGACTCTGTTGGCGATAATCTCCATAAACATAAACAAGGATTCGAAATTCGGCAGCGATTGCACTGGCCTCCACTACAAAAACACTGACGGTCCTAACTGGTTTTGACCTGGTTTAACCATGACCTGAGCCCAAATCATGTTCTCAACAACGTTTTATTTCCCCTATTTCTGTCATGGCGAGAAAATGTATGCTTCATACCTCTTTCCATTGCAGTGCTTTGCTGTCATGGTCTAGTGTCGTGGTGCGTTGCCGAAGTTGATTGCCGTGACGAGATGTCTCGGTGGTTCACTGCCGTATTCTCGGTCCTTCCCTATGGCCCGTTCTTATCTGGTGCCCTGCTCCGCTGGTGTGGTTCACTGCCGTATTCTCGGTCCTTCCGTATGGCCCGTTCTTGTCTGGTGCTCTGCTCCGCTGGTGTGGTTCACCGCCGTATTCTCGGTCCTTCCATATGGCCCGTTCTTGTCTGGTGCCCTGCTCCGCTGGTGTGGTTCACTGCCGTATTCTCGGTCCTTTCGTATGGCCCTTTCTTGTCTGGTGCTCTGCTTCGCTGGTGTGGTCCACCGCCGTAGTCCGGCACCCCGGTTCGCTTGTATGGCTCAGTCACTTGACATGGTGACCTGGTCCATTGGTAAGGTGCACGGCGCGACCCGCCGCTTGAGTCCGTTGCTGCGGTTCACTGCGGTGTTATAACAACCGCCCGTTCGCCTTGCATCCGTGTGGCTCAAGACAAAGCCCACCCTCCTCATCCCTCCCCTCTGTTTGCCACCCCGCACCATCGCCTGTGGCCACGTATCCGCTGCAGCCATCTCTGTCGGGCCCACCGCAGCCGCGTCACGTTCAGGTCAGACGTCACCGGTCGTCCGTCACCGGTCAACACCGCCTGCTCCTCTGCTTCCCCCTCCCCTCCCCCTCATTGTCCACTGTCCTTGTTCGCTGCTGCCTTGCGGCCCTGCCGTCCGTCGGTGTGGCCCCCCGCCGGAGCCGTCTTCTCGGGTGTCCTGGTCCGGCCGCGGCCCGGTGCCGGTGGCCAGCGGCGCGACGCAGGGCCGGGCCTCGGCGCCTCTGTTCCCCAGCGCGGGGTCGCCAGCGGCCGGTCGGCCGGCGTCATTTTTAGCCGCTCGCAGTGCGCGGGGATGGTCGAACAAAAACCGACGCCTCGGATGTTGCCGGTTTTTGCGGGGGCGCGCCAGGCGGGATCAATACGGACTCTGCGAAACCTCCGCAGCGAGCGGCCGTATTGAGGTCAGCCGTTGCAATTGGGTTCGTTGGCAGGTAACAATGCGTGCACACGATCCCACCTCGCTGCGCTGGGCTGGACTGTCCCCTCCCCAGTCACTACGCGAGCGCCACATCGCGTGGCCGCCGATAAAGGATCGAACCCGGGGCCGACCAACCTCAGCCGTTCAGGACGCCAGTCCCCAGGGGGCGCGGAGCGCGCCGGCCCCTTCGGACCAATCTTTGGCATTGCAGCGCATGACGAGGCCAGCCGTTCATAGCGCCACCTATATCAAACGGTTACCGCGTCTCGCCCCGGGAAAAGAGCCGGAGATGCCCCATCACGGGCGCGCTTACGTTGCAGAGGAGAGGCGTCATGCGAGAGCAAGAATGGTCCGCAGGACGGCTGAAGCTCGCTGCTAGGTGCGACTGGCGGACGCAGTTCATCGTGGAGGTATGTATGTATATATATATATATATATATATATATATATATATACGTGCGTGCGTGCGTGCGTGCCTGCGTGCGTGTGTGCGTGCGAGCGTGAGTGCGTACGTACGTGTGTGTGTATGTGTTGTGTGTTACGCCCAAAAATCCCTCATCAGAAATCGTGGCGTTGGGACAATGGTATAGCCGCTCAATGACCCGCCGCCACTCGGCATTCCGTGTTTTGGAAGTCCCTTGGGCAAATGTTGTCTGGTTTGCCGGCCCCCCGCTGACTGTACCCCCAGCATGCTGATTTGTCCAGGCAGTGTGCGCCCCTGCGCGACACCGGCTCCGCGGCCGCGCCAGCACGGCAGGCCAGAGGAGCCAGGTCAGGCCGGACCTGGCCAACACCACTCGATAATAGCAACATATTAGCTGCGCGCCTCACCACCTCAGCACTTGGCCCACAAACCCGCCAAGCTGGGAAAAGGCCGTGCAATTCCTGCATAGCAAGGTTAATGGGAAAGTGTCAGACCAAAAATGATTATCACCTGTCAACTATGCCAAGCCCTCAAACACCTACATTGGCCGGGCAAAACGTGGCATTCGGAACCGCTTTAATGAGCACATCCGAAGTGTAAAAATAACACCAAAATTAATCCATTCGGTGACCACTTCACTAACGCACATCCCACGGAAATCGTCGACACAGATTGGCTCAAAATATTCATCCTGCAGGTATGCAAAGATATTGCTGATAAAAATAACAGAATCAATTCAGATAAGAAACACCGAACCTACACTGAACACCATAGCTTCCTCCTGGAGCCTTTTGAAGCATGTCCCATATGACGTTATCTGGTAATGCAACCTCTCAGTAACATGGCTGCTCGATGTAATGCGACCCGAGAACAGCGTGCGATTTTCTGGAATGTTCTACCGCACGACGGAATCGAATGTTTGCTTCACATGCAAGTACTGAGGAAGCTCCATGGCCGAAGTGAAGCATACACATACCTTTCTGGACCAACGCAATCTGTTATGTGCGTTAAGTTATCCTCATCTATCTCCCCATATAAATCATCATGCTGCTCATCCCATTAGCGATATGTAAATATTCACTGCGAGACTTGCTCGAAATTTTTGAAGTCGGTTGGTTTTTGGCTTCCTAGGAATCGGAAAAAATCAATACTTTTCCGTCGCGTGTGTTCATCTCGTCTTCTTTTCCGCTTAGTGATGTTAACTGTATTCCGGACAATCAGTTACGAGCTGAATAACTTTCGCACCACATTTCACGTTCACACATCGTGTCATAAAATCGGCAGCCGCCGGTCTTGCACCACTGAAGTGGGACGGAAACGTGGCTAGTGTAGAATATGCACTGCCTGGCCACGTACCCGCCGCCGTTCCACCTTCAGTGGAAGCACTATAGGTAGACCAACAGCGGTCGGACAAACATGAAATATCATGTACACCTAGTGGCTTAGGCAAGCGAGCGAACACGAAAAGCGCCATACCAGTTCGCAGTCACTACGTGATAGCAGGTGCCTAAGAATGCAACGCACACGCCGCCAGTGCCTCGGTACGTCAGACTCACACCAGAAAAGCACACGTTTCATTTGAGACGAATGTGTATTATCCAAATTAAATGTGAAATACAAAACATGCATTATATAATGCATATCGCCGACGGATACTTCGACGATATTCGCCTGAAAACATCTACTTAGCACTTACACTACACCTAAAATATTAGGCGCCGACGGCGACAGACGAAACACCTGACTGCCCCCTACAGCACGGCACGGCCCGCAGCACCGGCCCACAGCAGACTAACGGACCCCAGCGGTGGGGGCCGGCCATCTCGGCCCGGCCCGTGCGCAGCGAGCGCTAGCAGCCGGGCAGCGGGGACACACGGCACGCGCGGCTCTGCCCACACCTCGCAATCCGGAGGGAGCGTCTTCAGAGTACGACCGCACGTCGGCCGACCTGGGACCACTGAGACCGGAGACCGGCCGACCTGGGACCACTGAGACCAGAGCTTGGCCCACCTGGGACCGCTGAGACCACAGCCTAGCCGACCTGGGGCCACTGAGACCAGAGACTGGCCGACCTGGAACCACTGAGACCAGAGACCAATCGATCTGGGGCCACTGAAACCGGACCGGTCGACCTGGGGCCACTGGGACCAGAGACTGGCCGACCTGGGACCACTGAGACCAGAGACCAATCGACCTGGGGCCACTGAGACCAGACCGGTCAACCTGGGACCACTGCGGCCAAAGATCGGCGGACCTGAGGCCACTGAGACCAGAGACCGGCGAACCTAGGACCAGACCACATCAGCCATCGCGGCACCTCAGGTCGGCGGCATGCCGGCGGAACGCCTCGGCTCGGCTCACATCAACACTTGCCTGCGCGGCGGCGGCGGCAGCGGCGGCGGCGGCGGTGGCGACGGCGAAACGACACAACTGAGCGCTCTGTGCATAGGCGGGGGTGGGCGGCGGCGGCGTGTGCATGGTCCCGGGCCCTGGCGGCGGCAGCGGCGACGGCGGCCGGCCGCGCAGGGCCCGGGCCGTCGGCGGCCGGCCGGGCCGCGGCGCCGGCCGCCCGCTGGCTGGCGCTCCGGCCGGCTAATGGCGGCTGGCCTCCGGACGGCCGGAGGAGGGCGCCGGACGCGCCGGCTGCAGCGGCGGCATCGGCCTCCTGCCCAACACACGAGCAGCGGTCAGCCGCCGCCGCACGAGGCGCCCGCTCCACACATCGTCAGAGCACGCACACGCATACACAAGGAAAGCGACTCGAGACGGCGTGAAACAGTGCTAGACATGCAACAACTTTAACTAACACCAACAGCATAGAGCTGTCACAGGCTGACGTGCTACCAGTGCCTTGATATAATGTGATGACGGAATATAAAAAAACTGTTTCCTTTATGCATGTCATAACACGCTTCCCATATAGTGGAAAGTACCGGCTAACATAAAACATACGACAAAAACCACCTGTCCAGTTGTTTTCTTAAGCAAATAACAACCAACTTTCAATACGCTGGGGGTGATCTTTAAAAGAAACGATCAAACAGCTATTGCTGAAACAAATGGCATAGCGCGAATTCCGTATTGAATTTTGACTACCTGATACCCATTGACTACCACTACCTGACTTGACTACCATACCATGACTACCATTTTGACTGTCTGACTACTATTTACAACATAGCTGGTGGAATGAATCGTATAACAACGGTGGGGTGTCAACCTACTCCCTCGAGATCGTACGCATTCACTGGGAATCCGTGCGGAGGATAGGAAGAGTGTGGCCAGATAGATACGACCTTGACCCCGTCAAGACCGCATAAGCACCGACATCAGGACGTCACCGTCAGATGGTGTCCGACTGCGCGCCCGACACCCGACACGGCCGACACTCCCACACCCTGAGGCATCATCTACCATGCGAGACGACTCTACCTCGAAACACCCCCGCATTACGTGCTCGCGGGAGACATGATTGGACTGGACCACCCGGCCCAAACGCGGCCGACTGACCTTTCGGAGCTGTGCTGGCTGCCGTTGGTGGGCCGGTCAGTCGGCTCGTCTCGAGCGCTGGTCTGCGGACGGCACACACAGGGGTCACCGTCACCGGCTCCACCCGCTGCCAGCAGTCACTGTCAGCTGTGCCACGCGCCACTCACTGTACCGGCCGTCACCGACCACTTCAGCACGTGCCAGCCGTTTCTGACGACTGCAGCAGGGCACCAGCCACACCCCAGCTAGCAGAAGTCAATGACAGCTGTACCAATCATCACCAGTAACTGTACGAAGGGAACAGACAGCTGAAGTCTGGGTCATCAGCGCTGGACCAGGGACCGCAGCGAACTGTACCCGACGTGGCGGCCAGCGGCCCCCGACAACACCGTCGCCCTCGCCCGGCGCGGGCGTACAGCACCGCTCACCGTGGCCGGCTCCGACGACATCTTCTTAGCGGCGGTGTTGGACTGCTTGGCCGGCGGTCCGTCCGGATACCGGATGTCGCGGTAGGCCTCCGCCCGCCTCTGCGCACCCGACAGCTCCTCCTCCTCCTCCTCCTCCTCCGAGAGCTCGCCGCCGGCGCCGCGCTCGGGCGAGTGCTGTCGGCCCGGCGGCCGGCGGTGCTCCGGGTACCGATCGTCGGCGGCCTGCGGCCTGCCCTGGGGCCGCCGCTCGCCCGAGCGGGGCCGCCTCTCGCCCGAGCGAGGCCGCTGATCGCCGGACAGCTGCCGGACGGGCGGGCGCGCGCCGGACGCCGGCGGGCTGGCCTGGTCGCGCGAGCGCGGCCGGCCGCCCCGCTCGCCGCTGCGCAGCCGACGCTCCACGATCTCGCGCTCGCGCGCCGCCGTGTCGACCGGGCGCGCGCCGCCAAAGATGCTGCTGGAGGCGGCCGCCGGCTTGCCGATCTCCTCGGAGGGCGCGGTGCGCGGTTTCAGGTTGAGTCGCGGACGGCCGCCCGGACCCCGCTCAATGCCTGCCGAGCCACCGGTCAGGTCAGGTCAGGTCAGGTCAGGTTAGGTCAGGTCAGGTCAGGTCAGGTTAGGTCGGTGATAGGTGCGGCGCACACGCCCGTGCATCATGATCAGACACGACAGACGCGCTGGCGCAACACAAACCAGTTGAAAGTCGACACACGCCAGCACGGCACACACCCCACACCACAGGCCACAGCGCAGTGCGACACCGAACATCGCCACGGCAATCGATCGACGACCACAGCGTCCGGCACAAAGCAACACGCGGTAGTCGGCCGGTTCGCCTCAGGAGCTTGTCGCTCCAACACGAGCGGCACGATTATCGGAGCGCACGGCACGGGGGTCTGACGCAGGGCGGGCACGAGTGCCGACCCCGGCCCCAAACAAACCCCACGCCCCGCCGAGCCTCCGCGCCAGGCCGTGGCCAGGCGGCGGCGGCAGCAGCACGCACCTGCTCCGGGTCCGGGTCCGGGTCCGTCGGGGCCGCCAGGCCGTGGCGGGCCGGCGAAGCGTCGCCCGTCGCGGTCCGGCCCTGGTCCGGGCGCGTCCCGGCCGTAGCCCCGCGGCCCCTCTCTCTCGTAGCCCGGCGGTCCATCGCGGCCGTACCGTGGCCCGTCGCGCTCGTGGCGCGGGCCGCCGCGATCGTGGCCGGCCGGGCCGTCGTACCGCGGTCCGCCGCGGTCCGGGCCGTCTCGGTCGTATCGCGGGCCGTCGCCGCGCGGCGGGTACCTGGGGCCGTCGCGGTCTGGTCCGCCCCTGTCGTACCGGGGCCCGTCGCGGTCGTGACCGGGACCACCGCCCCTGTCGTACCCGGGACCACCGCCCCTGTCGTACCGGGGACCGTCGCGGTCATACCCGGGACCTCCGCCCCTGTCGTACCGGGGACCGTCGCGGTCGTAACCGGGGCCTCCTCTGTCGTACCCGGGACCTCCACCTCTGTCGTGGCCGGGACCTCCGCCCCTGTCGTACCCAGGCCCTCCCGCTCTCGCGTACCCCGGTCCTCCCCCTCTGTCGTGCCCTGGGCCCCCACCCATGTGCCTGGGACCGTCGCGGTCGTATCCGGGGGGTCCGTCCCTCTGGTACCGTGGGCCGCCGCCGCTCCTGCAATCCAAGGACAGTTGTTACCTGTGAACACCAGCACGCCACGGCCAGCCCAGCTTCATCCCAAGCAGCCGAGCGACCCCAAGCTACCCAACAACTTTAACACTCGCCGTCTTCCACCACACAGCCTCGCCACAGCGCCACCGGCCACTAGAGCACGAGCGCGCTACCATCGCGCCGGCCTTGCGGCGATGCCCGGGGCTGCCAGCGCAGAGACGGCATATACCAGACAGCTGAGAAGGCAGGTACTGCGGTACCCGGCTGTACACAGCGGCGAAAGGCGGACTCGAAGCCCGCTACAAATACCGCGTAGTGTTTCCTAAAGCGAGCCACCGATAACTAACCACCCTCACCAGCGCCACACCCCATCACCCGTGTTGCGACCGAATGTACTCCAGTGTCTCTGGAGCGGGTCCTTGGACAAAATGTAAATCCATCAAAAGTGCAAAATGTAAATCCATCTGCGAGCTTCCTAAATAAAATGGATTGGTGCACATTTCCTCAAATATTCCAGTTAAAATCCATTTACACCCTCCGACCAACCAACAACACTTACATACTGCATGTCCGAGGACATCCGTGGCGCAGACCCCCCTCTAAACGAACGCGACGTGACTACATAACGTGTCCATACACCAACGCCGCGACCGGGCTGTGCATGAACGCCGGCGCCGGGCCGGCCGGTCGGTGCGGCACCTAACCTCGGCGGTCGACCCTCCTACCTGTCCAGCGGCCGCGGCGGCCCCTCCTGCCGGTCACCGCTCCGGCCTGGGAAGGTCACCGGGTGGGCGTCACGCAGGGACCTCCGCGGCGGCGGAGGCGGACAGCACGGCTCCGGGAACGGTGCAGAGCACATAGCCCAGGGCGCCGGCGCAGCGACACAGGTCATCACACAGCACACCTACACTCACGATGGCCCGCAAATCTGACCGTCACACGAGAGTTCACGGGTCCAAGTTGTCACACAAATTCAGACCCGTCTCACTGACCGTTCTAAGGCCAGTCACCACACCTACGCGAAGCCACGCTCCGGAGCCCCACGCCCTCACGGCCACTGGAGCCGGCCAGTCTGGCGCAGCGGCTGACGCCGCCGCGCCGCCGAACCTCACTGGCGGCTGCGGCAGCCGGTCCCGGGCGGCACTCACCGCGGTCCAGGCGCCGGTCCTGGTGCGGCGGGCCGTGCGGCGGGCCGCCGCGCACGTCCGCGTCTGCCGGGACAGCCGGAGTCAGGGCCGCACCGACGGCCGGCGACGCCGCGGCACCGTCGGGACAATACCACGGAGGTGGGCGAGCGTGTTGCGTTTCAGGAGTTCGAAGACAGTGCGTCACGAGTTTCACGGCAGCGGGGTTAGCGGTTACGAATACGCAGCATCGCCGACTTAAACAGTCCAAAAGTGCAAGGTCCGCGCATCATAACCACACATATCATAGCTCTATGTGACCAAAACAACTTCCGCGGTGAAACGGCCGCAAACTTCAAACCCGCGCCGTTCCCGGTCTGCTGCCCGGTCGGCAGGGCGGGGCCGTGCGGGCGGGTGCACACCTGCTGGCGCCGCGGGCCGGCCGTCGCCCGCGCCCCGGTCCGGGCCGCGCTCCTCCCGACCGGCGGGCTCGTTCAGCTCCAGCCGCAGCCGGCGACCGCACACCTCCTGCGTCGGGGACACGGCCGTCAGACGGCACACGGCGGCGGCATCGGGGGCCGAACACAACGGGCCGCACGGATGACGAGCGGGCAGGCGAGCGATCCACACGCGCGGATGAGAAAAACTGGCTCAATTTCCGGCTTGTGTCTCAAGCGGGCTATAACCGGGCGCACTTACAACATAGCGCACGAGGATCCACGTTCTGCTGCGTTAGGAGCACAGATACAGACACAGACAGAACACGGCCGCGCCGCTGCCGGCCGGCGCACGTGACCGCCGTACGCACCAGCCCATCCATGCGCAGCGCCTGGATCAGGTCGTCGCGGGTGTCGAACTCGACGTGGCCGTGGCCGGCCCGTCGGCCTCTGGGGTCGGTCGGCAGGTCGACGTGCCGCACCTGCGGCGGCGCGCGCTGGTCAGACACCGACCAGCACGGCCGGGGGCACACACTCACACACACACACGGCAGGCAGCGCCCGACAGCGCCACCATCTGTCGCGTGGGCTGCTTAGGCCCCACCGGCACACTCGAAGCGTTGCCAGTGCAATGCTGGCTGCGATGTAGCTGCTATGCCAGATGCGTGAAGGGGATGTGCGAGACAACAGATGCACTCTGTATGCGCAGGTACACACTCCACGCTTGCACTACCGAATTATGGCGCTTTTCGGCATTCAGCACTTGAGCTTCCCCGCGGCGGTAATGCTCACGGACGTCCGACCACAGCGCCGAGGCCGACCCGCCGTCCGAGCCCCATCACTTAATACTCTGAGACCCGGCAGCCGGTGCCGGCGCGCGGCCGTCTCGCACCACACCTCCGGCCGACTGACCCACCCGCAGGCCGCGGAACAGGTCGGCCAGCATGGCCGGCTCGGCGCCGTCCGCCACGTTGGACACGAACACCTTGAAGGGCGCTGCGGCCGGCACGCTCATCAGGTCGAGCGGCAACGCGACGCCGGGCGGCGGCTCCGGCTCGCCACCCAGCGCGTCTGCCGGCGAGGAGGCGGCACGGGTCAGCCGTCGACACGGGCCAGGCGGCGGCGGGACGGGGCCCAGGAGTTCCGGCGGCCCGCCGAGGGCGCTGATCGACCACTCGCAGACCGTCGTCGGCAGCGAGTCATTAGGGAGCGTATTTTCGCAACTGCAGTGCGGATGCCGACATTCAAATGCCCGTGCCAAGGCCCGCATGGTCAGCACACCAGCAGCCCCGGTGATCCCCGACGTCTGCACCGTTCGGTGGCCTCAGCGCCGCGGAACGACCCGCCACGACCGCCGCTCGGCTCAGCAGCGCAGCGGCCAGGCCACGGACGAGCCCACTAACCGATCTCGTCCATCTCGTCCGCCCACGAGTCGATCGGCTGACTCATGAGCGCCGCCTTGCCGTCCGGCTCCAGCAACGTGTTCAGATCCATGGCCGGGCCGCTCTTCTTCCTGGCCTTGTTGGCAGCAGCCGTGGGGTTCAGCTGGTGCACACAGATGGGTGTCAGAGACCGACTGGGGCGCGTGGGACATCAGCGGCCGCGCTCGAACAACGCTGCGTAGCCGTGGGATCGCTCACATTGCCTGCCATGACATAAATGGTTGGATCAGTTGAGTTCTGCTTGTTGTTGGGGCTTTTAGGCACTTCTACTGTGAGGCCAGATAGCGGCCATAGCATTTTCCTAATCAAAACTCTTCCAAAAATTCCCGAATTACCATTGTGCGACGTGAATTTCTAAGATCGGTGTGCATGTAGAATAGGGTTGACATCTGAAACATCAGTTCAGTTCGGAACAAATCACTAGTGACGATGGCTTACATAACTATTATCCCACAAGTGTGCCACATTAGATGGCTGGTGAGAAAAAACCGAACGTAATGTGTGACAGACATTCATTGGGAGAGAGACTTAATCAGGACACATTAATTTGGAAGCTAGACAATGCAAAAAGGGGAAAAGTACCATAAAGGGCACGATGTTCCATAACATATATCAGCAGCACTGTCATGGCATCTATCCAATAAACACTGATCTGTAAAGTTGTACATATGATAGCATAACTATGTTACAAAGCAAGGTCATAATACAGAGGAAAATAGCAAGCCATGATTTGCTGAAGCAACAGAGCATGTCAAGGAAAAATGTGAAATGCTTTTAAGGGTATGTTCTCAAAACTAAATCATACCTTGTAACATTTTTTACATGCATTACACAATGAACTGTGATGTTATGTAATTGAAAACATAGAAAATGCTATGTAATTGAAAACATAGAACACACATTGTATCTAATGATTACTCACATGATACTAAGATTACTCACATGTATCTAAGGATGAATATTAATGTTCATCTCCAAACTGCATCCTGCAAAATGGACAATTTGGTAATGACACCAAAACAGCCATGGAAGGATATCATCAATCATGAACTGCAGCATCAACTAATCCTGAACATGCCCAAACAGTGATACGAAGCCCACAACTTAAACACACATTATCATCAGCTGAGTACAATGAGATACCACATCCTATACCTATCCACCAACCATGAGCAGGTTTGCATGGGTGCCTCCACCCAACAGTTCTGGGGCACTTCAAACTGTACATTATTGCCCATGTTAGAAACCCATGTGAAAGCCAGAAACATTGCCCACGCACACCTGTACATTGGCATTGCACGGGATGTACTCATGTATGCTTGTACATGGGTACATCCACTGTTGATAAATGAAAGACAGGAAGTAAGGCAGGTAAAGGTACTGATGGTGCTGAATGAGTGAATAATTGTCATTATTCTGAGGCTAAATACTTTGACTACCTATTCAAGTTTGGTGGCAATTACCTGTGGTTCCAGTCATATTGCTTTAAAATGATGAGGCATTCTGACAATCTAAATAACGTGAGGTCATGATGCGAGCCTATTAATCCTGTTCCCACAATAAAACAAAACAAGCAGTTTATCTCAAGTCCTCAGTACAAACACATTAAAAATTGTGATATACTATGCTGACCACTTTAAGTATGTGCTGTATCTATATTTGCACAGCAGCAAGATATACATGTGAACTATATGTGCCACATTTTTCAGTTGAGATGTTCAGCACTTCACTTTCACTAGCACTAGACCAGCCTGGCCAGGATGTCAAAGCCAGTGTTGGTTACCTAAGCTTTTGACATGAAGTGAGTGTCTTGCAGATACAAATAATGGCCAATGGAGCAATCACCTACTTGCCACTATCTGGCTGCATAGAGAAAATGTCCTGCCTTAGAGAAGGTATTGAAGCAAGCATCAGACATGATTAAATCAGCTTACTTATGCATATTGGTATACTTCAAAGTGGAAAAGACTGTTCTAGACAACATTTCTCAACTTGGTAAATGTGCTCCTTAATATGTCATTGATTGCAACATAAAATGTTTGCATGACAATGAGGTCCTGCCAAACTAGCCATTAAAAACTGCCACTCCAACACTCACTTGCACTGCTTCCATCTCCTGAGAGGTGGCGATGGCAGTGCTGGGGGTGTTTGCCAAACCAAATATTGTCATGTACCCATGTCACTCCTCGTGATGTTCTTGCATATTTCATGTCAGTTCAAAGGGAATGGTCCACATTCAAAGACATTGAAGCAAGCATGACATAAGATGACATAAGCCAACTATTGGCATAACTTTAAGTGGAACAGACAATTTGACAATGCAATTTTCCTGATTAGTAAATATGCTCATCAATACATCATTGTGTGATTACCTCACTGTACCTTGCACATCAGTGATTGAGTGCCAATTGATCACCATTATATCTGGAAATTATGCTCACAAACAAAGAATATGAGTGACTTGACTTTAAGTATTTCTCAGTTGTGATCATCGCATGGCTCATGAAATGGCAGAACTTGAAGACTACTGTAGCATCATGGATTCCTGGGTAACTTTGAACTACTAATTCCTCGGGAACTGAACAAGTCCTGTGGTATCAGGTAAGATCAGGTTAGCTGCTGACTGGTACTGATGAGTGTCCACTTCTAAGAACACATAACTATTTCACCAGATAAGGATTACATATTTTTAGATATAGTTATATGCAATCAAGAGTATATGCTTGAATCTCCATAAAATTTGCATCTGGTAAGTTTTGGTTATTCTTACCATGCATTTGTAAAATTATACTACTGGTTTCAAAATGACCTGCAACAACCTGCCCATTAAAACAACCTTATACTATGAAATAAATGCCCTGAAGTGCAATGCAGGGACCAGTGCTAAGATGAGGTTTAGGCAAGCAGATAAAGGATAACCATAACAACATTTATGAGTTTCACCATATACAGCATAACATGCTGTAATATGATAGTAGCCTAACCTTGGCATTGGTTCAGTGATAGCTGAAAGCATGAGGTTTTTTACCTTTATGCAGGTTACCAAGAAGTCTAGTAGTGAATGATGAGCAGGGCAGTGCAAAAATTTTAAGACATCAGGCTCATAATGAAAATGGCATGCCTTAATTTCAGTTATGACCAATAACAAGATTGGGGCAATGTGCTACCTAGAGACAGTATATTTGCAACTTATTATCAGGCGAGTCTAGGTTAGGTACATCCCACCAGCAATTAGCCTGTGGCCTAGGTACAGAGCAACTACATGTATGTTTAAACCATTAAAAAAATTATTTATTTGTATATGCTGGATTTTGGTGCCTAACAATATCCTTTATGTTACCAGCCCTGAAGACTGATTTCAATAAATATGGGCACCTAGTACCCACTCCACTCAGGTACCACAACCTGTTAACTGTATTGACAGGGAACTGTAGCTATCAAAATAAAACTCAGATAGTCAGGCCGCAACAATTACATCATGGGTGATGAGAGGTAACTAGAAGACTTCATTTAAACATGACACCTTAAAACGTACGCGCTTAGGGAGCACGGCTACAAAAGCGACGCAGAAATACAGCCGACTTTTGAGCTACTACGGGAACTATGCTACTTTGGGCGACACAAATATCGTCAGCCAATTGCAGTGCGATAAGCCATAAGTGCGCTGGCAAATCAATAATTCCTCAGGATGCATGTTCAATAGCATACACCGCGCCGGCATGAACCTACCGCATGCCACCATTTTCGGCGACTGGCCTGTCCTAATAATAATATGTCGATCAAAAATTAGCTTCCTTCTGTAAAGAACAAAACTGTTATACAAAATTAATTATTTTTATTGTAAGATGCGATTTTGTGTACTATGAGGAACGGTGAAAGTAGGATAGATAATGTACCTTTTATATATTTCTTAGCACTTCAACCGTAAGGTGAAACCTGCGCGTATGTGACACACACGGCGCAAAGGTGATGCAAGCTCGATGCGTTGGTGGCTTTCAGAAGACCTACGATTGGAGAGGGCGGTTGTCGCAGCTGTGGCCAATCTTAGCGACCTAGTGGCCTTGTTTAGCGCGTAAAGTGCTGCATGTACCTCGGCGCTGAGGGGTCTCGTGCGTGCCCCATCGTTAGCGTGGTTAGATCGTTGACTAGACGTTGCACCAAGGATTTACAATGTGATGGTAGTCGTGAAAACTATGGATTACCGTTGTACAGTATTTCTGGCCTGCTGATCGGCAATTGCTGATCGTGATCACCTGGTAGTCAAACAGCTGTTTCAATCTGTTGACTAAGAATCTGTCAAGAACAGTGCACATTCAAGATGAAGCTGCTCAGCCGTGACATTGATAAAGATGGAAAGGGGTATGATTGCCAATATTTGCTTGGCATTCTGCACATTTAGAATACTGATTGTGCATGCTGAAGGCCAATGTAGTCTAGGTGCATATCATACAGATGTTTCCACGCAGCTGTCTTATGGCATCTTGGCCACGGTTTAGAAAGATAACGCTCCGGAGGGATAAACGCTTAAATGCATCTGTTTTCGTCTTGAAGCAAATTGAAGGCAACCTTTTCATGTGGTGTATTATCTATTCCTCAATTTTTTTTTGTGTGTGACACTTGATAACATGTGGCTAGTACTTTCAGGGGTAAACTATACCAAGTGTTATTATGATGTGTCTTGACCCTAATGCAGGTGTACCTTTAGAGCAGAGCTTATAAGCTGTGCAAGGAAAATTAACATGATGAATATTCTAAGGGGTATCCTCAGGAGGCCTCTTCAGAAAGCAATATTACACACCCAATCATGTAATATTTGTATCATATAAGCAAACAGGAATACACACCTAATCATATAATATCTTTCTTGTGTTCTTAGGGTCTATACCTACCAATTGACATCACTTTTTCATGTTATGAGGTCTACAATGCATGCGAATTGACATGCTATCTATGATGTAGGTAGCAGCATTGAATCAGGCAACATGCAGGTGTTCTTGGTTCTGTGTTTTCCTTACTGCAGAGTTGGCTTTCTCAGAATAGCACTTTTTGGAAATGTATGTGCATTAAGGTGTAGTCTGATTCTACAATTTATGAGTTTCTTAGCATCCTTTTTGGTGAAGTTTTTTGCATGTTTTGTGAATGCATAGAGAGCTAAAATTGATCATTTGAAAGTATTTCATGAAAGTTTGTTAAGTTTAGTTTAAGTTTAAGCTCTTTTAGAAAGTTTAAGCTCTATGAAAGTTTGCTTACAGTGAAGTACAGGGAGAGGAAGTAACATGCACATTACTATTGACGTGAATGCTTTAAGCAAAGCTCCATTAGCCTGCTGATTGCTCAGTTTGCTGTAACATCTGTAATGTACACTGACATTGAGTGTAAATGTCTTAAGCCATGCCAAAATGGGTATCAATCAAATCCTTGCGACCAAGGGGACTCATGTTGTGTATGTAAATATCATGTGAGGTAGTTTGACATCTCTTTAACCCTATCTGGCTTCAATTTGTTCAGTATGTTAAACAACTAACAGGATAGGAAGTGTAAAGTCATGTGAGATGAACTATCAAAAGATCAGCACAAGCATGCATCAGACACACTTTGACATGTACTCACATACAGTGTGTGCATGTGTGTAACCATCCATTGATGTATTGACAACGTGATAAGAGGGTATGTTTGGCACAGATAGTTAAAGTTTTTATGGCATGACATGGACTTTTCTCTCGGTTGATATGAAGCAGGGGGAGAATGGTCGGAGTGAGATCATAAGGGGTTAAAGAGAGGACAAATAAGCTTACACCATATTTATGTACACATGATTAAGCACTTTTGCTGCGGAGATTTGTTCGGTACCCATCAGAATATGCAGTTCAGAGTCCTTTCCTTTGTAATCACTGCGCCCCCCCCCCCCCCCCCTCCAGTCACTTTCTCTTGGATCAAATGGCACACCTACTCGGTGTTACAGTCAGCAGCATAGAATCAGCAGAGTTAGAGATTGCTAAGGGCTTTCCTAAAAGCATCCAAGTCAATGTTAACTTTTTATGATGCCTTGTTGTCTCCCTAAGGGCACAAATGGCTTAAATCGACCAAAGTATGAGCTTATTGCCACCCCAATAATTATGCAGGAATTTTGACAAAATTGACAGAGCTCGCCTTGAACCAGTAAACCAGAGTTTGTCACCGAGCACCCATATACCGCCGAACACCCATACATGTCCAAAGCAGTTGTTGGTGATTGCTCTTTCTTCAAAGGGAATGGAACATTCAGAAATTTGTCGAGGAAAGAGCACAGTGTCATGTGCCACCCCATTGCATATTTGTGTTAACATCTCACCCACTAACCATTTCTGTTCCTATTCCAGCCGTGTGTCATTGGTTCCTGAGGATGCAGAAGACATATGGCACGCATACAACCTTATTCATCCAGGGGATACCATCAGAGCATCAACAATCAGGTATCATACTCCCTGTGTGGGTTTTTTTATTGCAGGCTGCCACCATATTTTGACAAAGAGCATCACATTGGAATGCTGTGTGTACCCTAAAGGTGGCGTTTTATGTACTTGGGATTCAAATCCTTTAATTTTTAGTCTCACTTTACATATGAGTTTCAAATAGACTTGACCGCTCCAAATTCGTGGAACATGAATATCTAGTTGTTCTCACTTTTAAACTGATTTTCTTGGTCTCTGGCTGACTGTTCTCAATGCTTCCATCAGAAATGTATTTCAAACTCAGTCAAAACAATGGAGGGAGACATTTTGTGCCATTCAGCATTGGTGATAGCTTTAGTTTTAATGAGGCATGGAGAAGTTTATGACAAGACAGGCATGGTACCATGCCATTTCCCTCAAGCGCCTGTTGGGCTGATTCCGGTGATGCAAGCGGCAACCTATGGTACTGACCCGGCTACCTCTGTCTCTGTCGGGAATGGGGGCGACGCCGGCGTAGGCTTGTTGTTGGGCCTCGTGAAATCGCAGCCTTTCTTCATTACCTCCGGCTTTGGCTTCGGCTTTATGCAGTTTTCCACGGTTGACTGGTTTCGGCCCCGACTTCGAGGCGTTCTTAACAGCTGGCTTTGGCTTTGGTCTCGGCTTCTAACAAGTTTTGAAGTATAGTCCGGCTGCAGCTCGACATGATCTTCAAGTGCTGGGTTCGGATTGGTCATGGCCATTTCCTCATTGCAGTGGCAGCCTTACTTTACAAAAATAGTCTTGCCCGCCCTATTACCCAAGTATGCCGCAACTGTTTAAGGCTGTGGCGCATGCATGGCTAGCAGTCCAAACCAGTTGGTCATTGTCAGGACCAATTAACAACTTATGACCACCGGAGAGCTATACGTTGTACACTGGGTTCGGCTTTGGCATCGTCACTTTGACTGGTGTGTTTGGCTTTGGCTCCGCGTTTCTAAGTTGGAAGACGCTTTCTTCAGGTTTGGTTTCGCGTGCGCAAATTTCGAAGCCTCGGACTCACATCTCACAAATGCGAAGCAATTGTCTTTGGCTTCGACCCCGCAGTTTTAAAACTTCAGGCCACTGGCTTCGGCTTTCAGCTGCGCTTCATGTAATTGTGTGGCTTCGGGTGCAGCTTCAAGGTCAGAAGCCTGGCTTCGTCCCCATGTCTGGTCCATGTATTTTTTCCTGATCATGTTTGTATTGCTGTTATTTAGCACTTCTGTAGGTAACCAGTGGGGTGCGTTTCCACTCTCCGGTCACCCCTTCTCCCCTCACATGGTGTTTTTAAAAACCGTCTCATGTTTGGTCAGTTGCCGTTGTACGGGATCGTTCGAAATTATTTAAGTAGGTCAAAGTCATGAGCTAGGGAAACGCGTCAAGGTTGGCAAGAATTGTTCAGGAAGTGACTGACACCTGATTATGTTCTCTGGACATATATTACCGTGTATATTGTCGTGTCATAATCCGCCTTTTCTCTGCATTTTCGTGGTTGTAAGCACAGTGCACTCAAGGATATCAGTAGGATGTTTTTTTTACCTTTCCATACAGTCCTTGAAGTTTTCAGCAATCTTATTGAATGGTGTCGTCTGATCCCATTCAATCGCCCAATGTGATCTGTCAGGCGTGCGCGCCAGAAGAGCGTGTCATGCGTGCGCGTGGTGCACCGCTGGGCGAGCGTGCCGGGCCGGCGCAGGCCGATGTCCCGTGCCTTTGTGCCGAGCTGGGCGCTCGAGGGACTGCCGTCACCCCGGTGCGCGCGCCTCTGCCGTGCAGGAAGGTGCAGACCGAGTCGGCCACCGGGTCATCCTCCAGCAACCGGGTGCGGACCACGCTCACCATCCAGGCCGAGGACACCGACTTTGACACGCACGGCGCTGTCCTCCGCGTCAAGGGCCGCAACGTCGAGGAAAACCAATACGTCAAGGTGAGGCCGACGGGCCGCCGAGCATCCCTGTGACGTCACACGGTGAGGCCGGCCGGCCGCCGAGCGCCCTCGGTGACGTCATAAGGTGAGGCCGCCGGGCATCCCCCAGGGACGTCACAAGGTGAGGCCGGCCGGCCGCCGAGGAGCCCGGTGACGTCACACGGTGGGGCTGGTCGGCTACCGAACGTCCCCGGTGACGTCATACGGTGAGGCTGGTCGGCCGCTGAACATCCCTGGGGAAGCCACACGGTGAGGCCGGTCAGCCGCCAAGCGTCCCCGGTGACGTCACAAGGTGCCCGGATGAACCCGCTTCTTATGTTAAATTGTTCCGTCCGTGATGCTAATGCCCCGGCGCATTCTTTCCGTAAAAGTATGGGCAGTTATGCCAGTGTGCTGCAGAAAGTTGTCTTGATGGAGATATCTGCGCTGTGGCTTGTGGTCCCGATGTCCGCGTCCGCGGCTGCCCCATCTTTTACACGATCGTTGGGCGGTCCTGAAAATATTCCAGGGATTTGATTCCGTTTCTCTGGTAGTATATTTGCATAGCCGATAAAGAGACGGCAATGTTTGTTTTTTCGAACCGGCAGGGGTTCATTGTGTGATCAGTTTCACAGACACATTTCAGCATGACGGAGTACACTTCCCGCTGCATTGTGTCCCTTGCATTTTAGCCATTATCGAGGACATTCATTTAGTTGTCTAGACACATCTCGTCTCGCGCGCCTAGCTTATCTGCTGTCACGTACCGCATTGAAGCAAAACAGACGTATTGCGTGATTTGCAAGCAATTCGATTGGGTGGTCGATCAGTCGGTAGATTGAAGAGTTACCGCATTCAGCTGGTATGGCTAGATTGTCACCCAATCAGAGATACCTCCGATTGTTTCAAAGGTTTGATCATTGGCAAAACACCACTTTGGGTGCTGTCTATTCAGTTGTGTTGAGTGGTACACAAAACTCCTCCACAGATGGGAGCCTACCACACCATCGATATCGAGGCTAACAGGAAGTTTATGCTATACAAGACCTACTGGGACACCGTCTCCATCGAACGTGTGGAGATGGCGTGTGACCCCACCCAGGTAATCTATCAGGTCATTTGAATTGTGCAGCCGCGTTGTAGTCGGGTCACGTGCGTCGCATTCTTGTAACTGAAATCGGTTGTGCTCGGCCTTAAAGTGTGCGATTGAGTCACGACAGCCACCAGTGCCACCATGTGTAAGCGACCGACGTATAATGTGGCTGTGTGAGGCAGCATGTCATGGTGCTTGATCAGCTGCGTCACGACGCCACCTTCACGCGCCTGTGTGTGAGCCGTGCGCCGATGTGAGCCGCGCCCCTGTGTGAGCCGCGCGCCGGTGTCCCCGTGTGAGCCGTGCCCCTGTGAGCGGTGCCCTGTGTGAGCATTGTGCATGTGCCTTTGTATCAGCCGTGTGCCGGTGCCCCCGTGTGAGCCTCGTGCCATTGCCTCTGTGTGAGCCGTGCCTCTGTGTCAGCCGTGTGCCGGTGTCCCCTGTGCGAGCCGTGCGCCGGTGCCCCTGTGTGAGCCGTGCCTCTGTGTCAGCCGTGTGCCGGTGTTCCCTGTGCGAGCCGTGCGCTGGTGCCCCTGTGTGAGCCGTGCCTCTGTGTCAGCCGTACACCGGTGCCCCCGTGTGAGCCGTGCGCCGGTGCCCCTGTGCGAGCCGTGCGCCGATGTCCCCGTGTGAGCCGTGTCCCTGTTTCCGTGCAGCACGCGGACCTGGCGGCGGTGGTAATGCAGGAGGGGATCGCGCACGTCTGCCTGGTCACCTCCTGCATGACACTGGTCCGCGCCAAGATCGACCAGCCCATCCCCAGGAAGCGCAAGGGCCACACGTCCCAGCACGATAAGGTGAGCGGCTGACCGCGGCCGGCGCCGGCCTGGCACGCGTCAGACGCGCGCCAGTGTGAGGAGCGGACGTCAGGGCCGGGCCGGGGTGAGATCGGCGGCCATGTGCAGCCGTCGCCGACTTTCCGCGGGGCGAGGGGTCACTGAGCGTCCGCTGACCGCAGATAACTGCCCTCGCTCAGTGTGATGTGGATGCTGCTCGCTGGACGGGCGTTCACACGCTGCAGTTGTCTTCGCGTTGGATATACGTGCCACCGATGTCTTCTGGACGTGCACGCATCTCAGCATGTCGGGCGGTTGTCGGGTGTGAGTGTCGCATCAGCTGCACGGGTGTGAGTGTCGCATCAGCTGCACGGGCGAGTGTGTCGCGGACAGCTGATCGCCGCGAGTTCCAGATAGCATGTCGAGCGGTTGTCGGGTGTGGGTGTCGCACCAGCAGCACGGGTGAGTGTGTCGCGGACAGCTGATGACCGCGGGTTCCAGATAGCATGTCGAGCGGTTGTCGGGTGTGGGTGTCGCACCAGCAGCACGGGCGAGTGTACCGCGGGCGATGACTGCGGGTTCCCGACCAGGGTCACCGCTGAAGGCCGACTAATGGAGCTGTTCGCTTACCTTCACGGCGTCGCATCTTGTACCTCTGATGCTGTTGTCACTGTCACGAAGGTGCCGATGATTATTGTGGCTATGAGGCAGTGATGGCAGTAGTAGACATGCTGACTGGGGAATCTGGGAGCATTGGACAAGGTTTGCGGTGACTGCTCAGGATGTACAGATATCGGAGACCAGGGAAGGTTTGAGTCTTTTTGGCCGCCATTGGCCATTTCAGAGCTATGGCGTGGCACTGGCATTGCATCATTGGCTTAACCGGTGGAGCGAGGTGAGACGAGACGCAAATGTAAGGGAAAGTTGGAGAACCTAGGAACGTTTCTAACTTGCCCGTCTTCAATGACCGAAGGGTGGGTGGAGAGATGATCGTAACGGCGAACCGGTTAGACGCTGGCATCCCCCGAATGGATCGCATTCAAACGTCAGTAGTTGAAGGCGCGGCCGTCAGTTGGCCGTGAGGTCTGCAGTCACCAATAGATGGCAGGCCATTTTACGCGGCTGCGGGGTGCTGGTGGTAGGCTTGAGGGCGGATTAGGCTGTTATTTTAGGGCAAAGCTGTTCTATCAGAGGTTATTCCGATAATCATGCTTATAGCTATGCATATATGTTTGTATGCATGTACGTTAATACTTATGCAGGTATGTATGTATGTCCGCGTGCATGCACGTGTACATGCATGTACGCGTGTGTGGGTGTGGGTGTGAGTGTGTGTGGGTGTGTGCGTATGCATACAATCATTTTCAAGTTCCATTCACGCGGACATAACGTTTTGAATACCGTAGTCAATATAATGTCCACTCTGACACGTTAAAGATAGAGGTGAATCTGATGAAAGCATGTTGAGTACTGCCTAAGGAAGCAAGTAGACTGTATTTGGACGAACTGCGATAAGTCGCGTGCACAAAGCTGTATGTATGTGGCCCGACGTTATCACGGCACATGGCCGACGGCTGCAGCATTCTCACAGCGGGAATAGGCGTTGCAAGGACTTTTGAAGCGAGGATCTGGGTACGACCGCTGATACATTAATAGTCTTAGTAATCTTCGGCAAACAGCGCCTAAAGAGTTCCAAGTCACGTAACTTCTACAAGGCTATGATGTCCGGACTGCTGCGTCATTTTTAATATCCCCGGCCAAATGCCCTGGACGAGGATGTTGGGAAACAGGTATCTTCCTTGTGCTGTTTGCCGGTCCAAGCCCAGCGTTGCTTGCCTCAGTTGTCGATCATTCCTCTCCCCTTTGGTCTGGACCATCCAGCGCGACCACTCCTCTTCCCCTGGTCTGGACCATCCAGCGCCATCACTCCTCTCCCCTAGTAGTCTGGACCATCCAGCGCTCCAGACTGCGCGGCGCTAGCCAAATGCTAAACTTGCCGTTCTTGACGCTAGATGACATCACTGTACCGTGGGCGTCGAGCTTTACCTCCTGCGGTTTCGACAATCGACGGTAGCATTTATTGCGTTAGCTCATCACATTGGTGATAGCACTTGTCCTCTATCTTAACTGCTGATGAAGCAAATCACCAATCACAAACCTGTGCGAATAATTTGAGAAAGCTATTTATGTTCAGATTTCAGAAAAGGACCTACTCATATCCCAATGTCTGTCACTCCTGTACTTTTGCAGGACCTCCAAGAAATAGCTGGGCGTACCTCTACAGCACCTAGTGTCGTTTTGAGCGGTTCGAATGCAATCAGGTGACGCATTTCTTAGCCGTGCAAACATCCTAAACAAAATACAAACCCCTACTGCAGAAAGTAGTACGTTTAGGGAAGGTATCAAAGGGGTGTTTAGGGAGGGGGCTAAGATGGCGTTCGGGGAGATATATTGGGAAAATCTGACGTTTTGTTTGTTGTGAAAAAGGTTGCAGTCAGGTGGAAAGTCTGACTACTTCGAAAGATGTGCTCAGGTGATGGTGTGTTCAGAAACGAGTTTAAACGGGGCGATCGCAGTGAATTTAGGGAGTAAAATTACCGGCGTTTTTTGGCATGAGATCGGCAAAATTACAACTGCAGGTCGTTTGCTTTCATACTCCAAGTTGGTTATTGATTTTGAAAAGAGCGTTTAGGTGGTTTTAAATCGCACATACATCGGTGCTTGAGTTTGGACTTTTGAAATTTTCAAAATGCCATTTTTAGACAAGTTGCTTGTCAAAAGGTGAGAACGGACCGAAAATTTGTCATGCCCACGACGAGGCGCCCACGTTTTGCGGGCAGCTACGTTCGAAAGAGGAAATCCGATGGCTTCCTCACGACCCACGGAGTCCCCGTCGAAGACTGACTGTCACCAGCAGATCCACCGGCTCCCTTTTCCCTCACACAGGCGCATAACTTTCTTTGTGTCCTTGTTTTCGGCATGTGCTGTAAAAGCTCTTCGAAGAAATGACAACATATTGAAAAAACTGTGTTCGGATGAAGCCCCAGCAAATTTCAGACGAGGCATACTGCATCTGCCCGCCTTGGAATTGTCATTGATCTGGGTCAGCTGGCGCTGGCATGGTAAAAAATGCACCGCTTGGACATGGCCCCCGGCAAGGCCTTGTGATAATGACGCCGGGCCTGTTGTGTTTCCGATCTGCTGTAGCGCTATTGTGTTCGCAGTGCCATCCACATACGTTTGTGGCAAAAAACGTTGTTTTCATCGATAAGGCCGGGTGCTTCCAGCAAACTTTGGGGTCAGGCACTTTGAGAAGCAGGTTACTGGATGCGACTGGACACTAATGAATCCAATCGTTTAATACCCGCTCGGGTGGGGTGTCGGCTTGACCCTCCCCCCCCCGAAGGTTTTTCCGGAATGATTTCCGAACGACGCGGCGCAGCCGCACCAAATTTTGCAGAGCTGTAGACAATTGAACAGCGGATCATATGCTATCAAAGATTGGATTTACCTTGTAAGATCGCTGATCTGCGGCAGGTCCAAATCGGGTCAGGGATTCAGCGTAGTCAATTTCAAGGGAATCTTTCAATCTGATGGAACAACGGAATGTTAGGCGAGGCCATACATCTCATCTCTAGAGATACTTTCTGAGGCAAAACAGCAATTGAATGACCAAATGTCATTGACCTAGGGTCAGATATGAAGATCAGACCAAGGTTAAAGCTAGTCTGTTTTATTACTCTAGGGCTTCCTGTTTGGGGTGGTTCCTGGTGCTCATTTCGGATTTGTTGATAACATGAACCGCATTAGACATATTCCATGGACTTCTTATGGGTCATAATAGATCACTGACCTAAAATGACACAGTTCAGCATTCATTTTTTGTGAGCATATTGCCTAGCTTAATGTTTGTCACGTGTTCAAATGCAAAACTCAAAGCAGTCTTCTACGATTTTGGTCACCATGACCTTGGATAGGTCAAAAAGGTCACTGGCCACCTTGAATGAGCGTTTGACCTTTCGCCTAGAACAGGTTTTGTTTTGTCCCTCGCTGCGGTCGTGCTATGTGAAATGTCGTTACTGGACGTCGCCCTTGTGGCGGTGTCGCTTCCTCTGCCGTCCGGCCGTCAACAAGCTTGCTTAGCCGTTGGCTTGCGGTTCTGGACCTAGGCCTGAGGGTCCTAGGGGACCTAGGCCTAGGCCTAAACCTAGGGGTTGGAACTGGGGCTGGAGCTAGGGCCGGAGCTGGGACTGGGACTGGGACTGGGACCGGGACCGGGACTGTGACTGTGACTGTGACTGTGACTGTGACTGACGTTAGGATTAGGTCTGGGGGCTTTGATTTGCTTTAAGGCCTTACTTTGCATCCTAGTATGCATGTTATGCTCTCATACATTTGTTTCCGCACCTAGTAGCATTTGTTTCGGTGAAGTCATCTGCCGGCATACCATACTCAGCACTGTATGCCTTCAATGATCGCGAGTTGTATACCCATTTATTGCACGGCTTTTTTGGGGTACCTGCTGCCTTTTTTGTTGTAGGAAGAAACAACGTTTTGCTAGAAAGTAGTGACGTGACAATTATTTCATTGTAATTTTTAGGGCCAGAGTTACAGGACAATTCTGTGTGAGATGAGTTTGTTTGCGCTTGTGAGTTGAGTAATGAAAAGGCGAAACATAATATTTTGGCTCCTATTCTTTCCTGATTTATTGGAATTTCAGTTATTTCCTCTAGTTACACAGCAGTATCATGCTGGTTGCGTGACATAAACTATCGTTTACCGGACTGCCCAGGTTAAAAAACAAGATGGCTTCTTTTCAATGTAGAGTGAAAACCTTGATGAATGAGCTATTTGCAAGAAAGCATCGTGAGGCAGCTTTTGTCGAGTACCGTTGCCGGATACGGCAGACACCTTTGGTACTGAAGGCCTCCGCGGCCACTGCGAGCCCATTACGACACGGTGCGCGTGCTGAATCAGCTGCAGTCATGCCTCCACGCCGTGAACGTGCGCATTGAGACTGATGGCCGTGGTGGCCACCGCAAATGAGGGGCGCCGAAATGCTATGTCAACACCGGTCAGGCTGTCAGACGGGCAGGCGCACGCGCCGACGTGGCCGCACATCGCTTCTGAACGATGGGCAGTCGCCAAAGGCGGCAGTGCATGGGTCGACATGCGTCGGTGTAAAGCAATAAATCACTAGCCGGTTTTACAATGGATTGGCGCGTTCACAAACCGGTCAGGGAAGCTCAGTGCTGGTCCAAACGGCCTGAGCGTCCGGTAACGCTTTGCTTGCAGGGATCCGGAAGAAGCTGACATGTTGATAGGCATCTGTACTAGAGAGCACAACTTGGGCTTGTTGTGCCAGTGGGTAGCGCTGTTAGTTCTGAACGATATCTGAAAGTCAATTGGCCTCAAAATGCCGCCGTTAGCTGAAATCAATGGGACCAGGTATCAGCTGGCGGCGTGAAAAAGAGTACACCGAAACGTTTAAGGGAACGGCTGTCGGTAGTCATCTACAGTATTTCATCTGGGTGCAGTCTTCGGATTGTAATGAAAAGTTAAGTTGGAAGTCATAAGCAACCGTAAAAACGACCCCTAAGAGAATCCCTGTACTGTTGCAAGACTTGGGCGGAGAAATAGGGGCCACGCAATCGCGGCTGGGGCGTGCGGTTGTCGTCAGAAGGCCTCCAAACTTATCCGCGAAAAGACGCCGCTGGAATACCGACACAGATAAACCACCTCCACAGCGATATCACAAATTAGGAAGCTCGCCAGAAACTGCGCCAAGCGGACGAAGGGTCTGTTGAAACCTTTGTCTGCCGCTCGGGTGATAGTGAATGATGAGTCACATTTTCCCCTTAAAGGCGACACATCACCAGCCAGCCGAGACCGCGTCAATTTAGGACGGCGAGGAAAATGGTGACACTGTGGTCAGAGATACGACCGAGGAAAAATTTTCCGACAAAGTCATGGTGTGGGCTACAATCAGCATGCGCGTTGTGAGCCAGCCGCTGGTCGCTCACGAGAGTTCTAGGAATGAGCATATGCACGACAAGGAATGCATTACCAGACGAACAGGGGTCCCGTCCGAGATGCTCTGGAGCGCAACCACGTAAGGCCCAAAATTCCTGGCGTCCAGCTGCGGCCACTTGACAGCTTCTGGTCGGTTCTTAAGGCAATGTTCCACATTTGCATGGGGTTTTGTACTGAAACAACCGTCTCGAAAATCATTCGGTGCAGTTTCCAGCCCAGCCCTTTTTAAGACCTAAACCCCGCCAGTTTCTCAGCCACACAGCCACATTTGCACCACGTTATCTGTCATCAATGGGTGAGCCGCAACCTGCATGGAAGCCGCCGGTTTCCGAAGTGCTGGTGAAAATCTTATCGGAAATGATCGCGGAAAAAAATCTTTTCGGAAATGTGTGAAACTGCGTCACTGCCAGAATTGCTTTAGCATCGTGTCGAAATACGTCATCTTGGTGCGGTATTGTTCGAGATCCTAAGACGTTGTCTTGGGATCCCAGGATGTCACCGTGTGACGTTCTCCACTGCTGTCGCAATTGGTTTCTTGCTCTCCATCTATGTCACCGTAAGACGTTCTTGAATGGGAACAGAAGGGCAGCCGGCAGCTGTGGCGAGGCCTACCAACCGTGACCATAGTCCGTCGCTGGGCTCTTCCTCAGGGGCTGCAGAAGTTCTTCGAGACGGTGATGCAGGCGCTGCTGCGACATGCTCGGCTGGACGTGGTCAAGTGTGTGCTGGTGGCCAGTCCTGGCTTTGTCAAGGACCAATTCGCCGAGTACATGTGGCAAACGGCCTTCAAGACGGATAACAAACAGCTGCTGGAGAGCAAGAGCAAATTCTTGCTGGTGCACGCTTCCTCGGGCTTCAAGCATTCGCTGAAAGGTCAGTCGGTGTTGGGTGAGACTCCTGGGTGGCAAAGTGCTGACTAAACTTGGCCGCCCCTGTGGGTAATCTGGGAAACGAACGTGGTCTCGGACGCCCTTTCAGTTGCGTTAGCGCTCAGTAAGACCATACGGGGTTTCGCTCGTTTCTTCCTGCATCCACTCTTGTCTCACGGGAGTTTTTGTACCTTCGCCCTACGAGTATTATAGTTCAAGCCATATCAGCGAATTGCGTTCACAGCTCACGGTACTTACGGGATTTCTCGAATAGAATTGCGTGGCCGCTGTTGTTTCAGACCAGCATCGGGGAGAGGGGGGGAGGGGTTCGTCAAAATGGGTCATGTTTGATTCGAAGGTGAATAGCGGGCGCTTCCCCGGGACTTACCGTGCATAACAGCGTAACGCGTGGTTAAAACAGTGGCCAATTCGAAATATTCTTGAAATTTAGCAAGTACTTATGTCATTACTTACGTGTTCACTTAGTTTTTTTGCGCTTTTTCATGAGCGCGTTTGCTCTGAACATTTACTTGGCGTTGGGCTTACAGACACTTCAGTATGAACAACATCAAAAGTCGCACTCGCCTGACGCCCAACCTATTTTCATGCATACGCGATGTAAGGTGGCTTTGATATATTGCGTTGAGCATAGTCAAATCTTTCCCCGGCATCGCATTCCGTTGAAAGCATGTCTTTTGTGAAACATTGTACAGGTCACTTCGCTGGTCTGTCTACCACTGACGTTACTACCCCGGTGGCATGGCTAAGGGTTGATAAAGCCACGCATTGCAGCGGAATGCTCACGGCCTACGACATGTCACGGGGGCCTGTCGCCTGATCCGCCGACCTCCCCGCTACCTCCCCCCCCCCCCCTGGTGGTGACGGCTCGGTAAGACCGGGTGCCGTGTGATCGATCGAGTCACGTGCCGCCACGTCCAGACCGCTGAAAAATGGGCGTCCGGCAGCCTGTTGCGCCGTGGAGCCCTGGCAGAGGCTGTGGTGCTGCCGTGCTCAGCGGCAGGGCAGAGACTGCAGCGTTCTCGTCGCGCGCGTCCCTGGTCATGCTTGACACGCGGTCCCTCCGTCGTGCTCGTTAGCCCGTTAGTAATGAGATTGGGCCGCATTTGCGCAAGCGTCGGTGCATGTGCTTGTCAGCCCGGCGCTGAACTCACGGCAGCTGTTCCCATCGTGCTCCAGCTCTGGGCGCTGGGTTCTCCCCCAGCACCGGGGTATGTGTAACTCCTAATGCGTCTCGGTAAGAGAACCCCGAGCTGAGAAGATGGCGTTGGCAGCTGTAACGGCCTTGAAATTTGTGGACGGAGTTTCGGCGCAGGGTGAAAACGTGGACTGGAGCTGTTAGCGCATAACACAACCGTACGAATTCCCCGCGTAAACAGCATTTAACAAGTAGTGTAATGTTGTCTCTGTTTTATTTTCGCCAATCTTTTTTATTTTGCTCGGGTCACTCCAAGCTTGGGGTACGTCGTGTTCCCTTTATCGGCGCAGTTTGATGTATTGCGTGGAATAAACATGCTGAAAACTGGCCTTGGGCGTGCTTGTGTATGTTACTTGAGGTCATACGGCTGCAGGCCACTATTCATCGCGGTGAATTGCTGTTTTCTGTCGCCTCAAGCTGTTCCAAAACTAGTCCGAAGCGAAAACGACCCAGCCGTGACCAGCCTTAGCTTTTGAGCACAAATATGGAAATGTAGAAGAAAGCTTGAATCCAGCGTAGAATCAGTCAAGTCCAAGGCGATTTTTAAGTCCGTTTGCACCCACGCATACATAAAGACGTGAAGTCAGATCCCGCTAAGATCCATTAGATCCTCATCCGCGTGCGGTCGGCCCGACTCAACTTTCCCGGCATTTTCAAACCCTTTGCGCAAGTGGCCGGTTGACCAGGGATAAAATTTCAGACTACTGAGCCTAGCTTTTACCACTTCCAGTTTTTGTCGGTTGATACACATGTACATTTTGTCAGATGTTCGTGGCCGATGGGCCGCCACATCCGGCCAGGGTGCTACCCTTGTTAGTGGCGACGGACGGCCCCCAGCAGCGCCGTTACCGCGCACCTTACGCTTGCGCAAGCCATGGGCAAGGCGAGACAAGGCAAGGCAAGGCAAGGCAAGGCAAGGCAAGGCAAGGCAAGGCAAGGCAAGGCAAGGCAAGGCAAGGCAAGGCAAGGCAAGGCAAGGCAAGGCAAGGCATGGCATGGCAAGGCAAGGCAAGGCAAGGCAAGGCAAGGCAAGGCAAGGCAAGGGCTGATGGCCAAATGCAAGGCGCGCAAACTCACTACGACTGAAATCGAAAAATAATTTCTGTTAAGGCGATACGCCCCTTCATAGTGCACAGAATCACTCCGACCCGATCTCGAAGCCAATGCTCCCCGGCGCGGGTTGTCGGACGCCGGCACTGTGTCCATACCGTGCCCGGCGCTGCGCCGGAGCGGCGGCCCCCGTCAGCCGCCTGCCGGCTCCGGACGGGTGGATGACGGGCGGCACGGCCCGCTGCCGCGCCGGAGTGGCGGCCCCCGTCAGCCGCCTGCCGGCTCCGGACGGCTGGATGACGGGCGGCACGGTCCGCTGCCGCGCCGGAGCGGCGGCCCCCGTCAGCCGCCTGCCGGCTCCGGACGGCTGGATGACGGGCGGCACGGTCCGCTGCCGCGCCGGAGCGGCGGCCCCCGTCAGCCGCCTGCCGGCTCCGGACGGCTGGATGACGGGCGGCACGGTCCGTTACGGCCCCGAGCGCACGGCTCCTCGCCATTCCCGGCTCGCGGATGAGGTGGTTGATGGTGGCCACGTGCCGCGCGGTCCCGCACGTACGTTCTGATAACCGGCGGCGTGGACAGGCGCGGACCGGGCTGGGCAGTTGTCACGTGCGTGTGAGACGGCGTCCGGGAAACTGGGGGGATTGCGCGCGGGCTCGGGATCATTGAGAAGGGCCATCGCGAGAGCCGCTGCAACTGTCATTTCGGAAGGGTTCCCCGCTTGATCTGCTCTGGCGTTCCATTTATAAAGTCGGGAAGTCGGTTTACCGAACAAAATGGCAAAACCAGGTCGCTGGCAGAACTGGCTTCCGTCCCTCCGCTCGCTGATGGTCGCTGCCAGGCCCCCACGGCACGGCCCGTTAGCGTTACTCGGCGTGGCCAGCTTGCTCGGAGTGGTAACATCCATTTATGCGTAACGGTTTCATTTTATTTTCGCACAGCCAGTTGTAAGGCAACAGTGGTGTTGAGCGCGGCGGCGTCCAATTTCGGTGCTGCAGCGCTCCCGAATTCGGCGGGATTGCAGAAGTGGCACGGCTTTGGCGCAACTGCAAGGTACTTCGACGCGGTTGAACTTTGTAGCAGCCTGATAGCGTGATGCGCAGTCTTTGTAGGAAATGAAAACAAATTTGACAAACTGTAAGTAAATTCGGCACGATTAGTTTTGGCTCTACGTCGCAAAAATGCACGGTGGCACTAATGTACACCAAAGTAAGGACAGCTGCGATTTATGCAGCCGTGGTAGGTATGCGTGAAAGGATCAATAATGGCGGGCAACTTTGAATCCCCCATATGGAGCGTCTCCAGGAGATCCTGGAGGAAAGAACAAAATGTTTATGGCGGACACTGAATTCCGCTGCGGCACCATGCCTGAATTACATGCCACGATCACCTTTGATCTCCTGGTTTGAGTCGATATTTCAGTCGTCTCATGATGGCGCTGTTCCACAGCAGGAGGTGTTGTGAAGCCTGGTAACTGACGAAGTGTTGCATCAGGGATTATCCAAGCCCTTTTTAGGAGGCTGCTTTCTAGACCAAATACGCTATACGTGATTTGGTAAACAAGTTTAACACTGATGCTGTTTTAAGGCAAGTAAAGTAAAAAAAAACTGGTGATGCTCATCCATGTACTGACATCCGATCTCATAAAAGACACGATTCAATGACAAATATTGTAACCACGTTGTATACTGAGTGGTTTCTCCCGAACGTTGAGAGCATTCGAGTACTTTACAAGTTTTGCTACAGTTTATTTTTGTACGCAATCGCTTGGTTCGCTTGCCTTTTGACAGTCTGTAGCAAGCAATGACCAGATTAGAAGAAGTGATTCAGCCCAAACTTTACATTTATTTTTCGAGCGAGCTCATTCAAAATGCCTTCACGCTTCGCATAATGACACAATAAGCTATCAAGATCATCGTTTTTCGCCGCAACATATACGCTGTGGGTCATACATTACCTCCGTCATTGCAAGAAGTGTGCGCCAAGCCTGGGCCCCACGAAGTTTTCCAGCCCGAAAAACAGGGTGGACCGACCGGGCGGAAAAAATTGAAATTGTTGCCAGATGTGCAGAAAGTATCTAGATCTGGTAACCCGGAATTTTTAAAGCTATTAATCGCGTTTGCGAGGAAAATTGTGCACAGATAAGACAGTAGACGGATATAAGACAGATAGACAGCCTTATTCCTCGTAGAAGAAAACAGGAGAAGGGAAATATAGATGCATATATATTTCGGCAACATGTTTTTATCGAAACGGTAAGCAGAAGTAACTTTAAGTTAGCAGAATTAAATAAGCGGAGTTGAATTTAAATTTGCTTCTGCCGTTCGTTGAGATGAAGCCATGTTGTCGAAATATCAAAGTATCTATATCTCTATTCACCTGGTTTTTCTGCCAGGAGTAAGGTTATTAATGCTGTTGTAACCGGAATTTCTTTATGGATTTCTGCACCACCTGTGCGGACATACACCGTAACGCGTGACAATACTTTTGAGCGTACCTTTCAAAAAGAAACTAAAAAGAAGGCATCTTATTCGCAGCTATGTTTTATTAGAAATGTTGCGGGGACAGAAAGACAGTGAGAGACAGAGAGACAGGGAAACTGAGAGACAGAGACACAAATAGAGAGACAGGGAGGCAAAATAGAGAGACGGGGAGACAGAGACACAGGGAGACAGAGAGACGGGAGAGACAGGGAGAAAGAGGGAGAGAGAAAGAAAGAGAGACCGAGAGACAGAGAC